AGACGAAACTTGAGGGAGCACTGGTTGCTGTTGCAGCCTCGGGTGCAAAGCTTGAAGTACCGGATTGAGCTGAAAGCTTAGGATGTTCTGATCTGGCAAGGATAGTAGTGCTGCAGCTGTGGGAGCGTGCTCGAGAGTAACGAGATATACGAAATTGGCGATCGAGGTCAGCTGGAGAGTTTAAATCGAAGAAGAGAGAGCGATGAATGAGGGTGAGTAGAGGGAGTGCGGGTTTGTACTCGCAGAGGCGATCGCAGGCGACGGGGGGAGAGCGAGAGACGAGGCACTGGGAACTCACGCAGCGGCACGGACAGAACGAACTTGTGCGGTGTGCGGACTCGCAGGGAAACGAAGCTAATTCCGAAGCAGTGTCAAGCCTCTGGCCGTGGCGTCCGGGGTCGTGACAGAACGGTTCAGTCCGTTTGATTGCCTTGTCCAGACGGTGGGGCTCGTCCATTCGAGCCGAACCTGCCGGTTAAGCGATTGTGCAGGAAGGAGTTGCTAAGCGAATCGCACTAGGAACTCATAGCGGGCAGGCACGGGAACACGGACGGAACAAAGCTGTTTCCGAGGCCGCTGGCCTTGGTGTCGGGGTACGTCACAGAGGGGTGCAGACTGGTGCTTTGGCTTTTCCAAACGGTGCGGATGGTCCACTCGGGACCAAGCATGCTGGCTAAGCGTTTTTGCCGGTTGTCGTTGCGATGCGAAAGCTTTGCCATCCCTGACCCCGCTGCCCGTGATGATCTGCGTCCGCAAAGGCGGTAGGGAGTCGCAAGGGCCCTAAACGTATGCGAATCGCATCTCCGACAGGGTAGACAGACGCTAATGACGCAAACTCGTATGGTTACTCTTCGAGAATCGCGTGTTTCGAAATGGCGGGAAGTGGCCGCCACGAACTCAATGCTTCAGTGCGGGACGCTCCTACAGCAGCGACATTATCGGGATCTGTCGGAGAGAATTGCTCCAAACCCTTGTTTAGAGATTCAGCGTTGCCCACGTGGCCACCATTTGCTCGCGTGGTTCTCAAATTCAGTAATAATTGCTCGAGTGACCTTGCCAGGGGATTCCCACTGGTTTTTTTTAACCCTTCACATTACCCTACACGGGTTTCTATCCCCGAAACTTCTGTACTGGTTACTGCGCGATCTTCAGTATCCAAAATCTATGTTCGTGACCCTATATGACCGCCAGGGCCTGTGCTAGGATTTAGGGCACCCTAAGCCCTCAGGGCAACTTTTGAAAACTCTCCAAAATGCCCTGATTTTTCAGGGAAAAATTTCCTGGCAATCCTGAAATTTCAGGGCACCAGCAGAAATTCATCCGGATGTTTCAGGGCAAAAATTTACAAGACACTAGAGTGGAGGGGAAGCCACGAGAGGAGCAGGTTGTTCAGTGGTTTCACTACAATGGGCTGAGCAAAAACCTTGGGGGGGGGGGGGACAAAACTAGCACACACACCCCCGAGCCTCCCTCCTCCCCTCTCCCCCTCTCCCCCCCTCCCCTCCACCCCTTCTTCCCCTTCCCATGAGTCAGGGCATCCCTCTACATTCACCCTAACGCTTCAGGGCAAAATCTCACTGCCATTCTGAAATTTCAGGGCAAAACACATGAATCATCCTGACGTTACAGGGTAAATTTCATCGTTATTCTGAAATTTCAGGGCAAACTTAAAACACCATCCTGAAATCAGGGTAATGAGGATGTTTTGCCCTGATATCGTGGGCCCTGATGACCGCGCCTGATTGGACGCGCAATTCAAAAAAAGGCACCGCGCATATAGTTGACCAATCATGCGCGGTCATTAAATACATTGCAGTTTATAACTGCGGAAATATATGATCGGGCATTAAAATATGATGCGCGCGACCATTAATGGCCGCGCAGGATTGGTCGATTATAGGAGCGTCCAATCAGGCGCGGTCATATAGGGTCACGAACATAAATTTCGGATATAAAAGATCGCGCAATAACCAATACAGAAGTCTCGAGGATAGATACCCCTGAAGGGCAATGTTCACTCTAAAAAAAAAACGTTGAGAATCCACAGGCGAGGCCACTCGAGCAATTATCACTGAATTTGAGAGCCACTCGAGCAAATGGTAGCCACGTGTGCATCAACGAATCCCCAAATAAGGGTTTGGAGCAAATCTCTCGATCTGTCGGCTCGGAACAGAGTGAGGATGATGAACTCGAGATGCAAGACGGGGGAATCTGTGCTCGCTGTAGTATGCCTCTCGATACGTACGAAATAGAAACGTTTAAAAGGGCCAAACAAGAGACATCTTTAGATTGATGCTGACGTTTGCTCTCAAAGTTAATGAGAAGCTATTTATTGAGAACACTACAACAGTCATGCCACCATTCATTACTACAAAATTCCACATAATTGGCACCCACCATATTGTACAACGGTGCGTTCTAGCATTCTTGGGCACTTAAAGCTTTTGTATACATTTGAAAGTACTGTTTGTGGTGGAACTTTAGCCACCAAGATTTCGCCCCAACGAAAAGAAAGGGGCTTGGCGAGAGGGGTTGCGAAAATTTGGAGGATTGAGGGGTGGGAACACGAGAAACTCTCCCGTCACCCAACCCTTGAGCGACACTCACAAACACAAGTATAAGCAACTAATTACTAGGAAAGGCCTTGATAGAACTAGCAGCGCAACTACTCACCCTGACCTAATCGCCCGTGGTAAGGGGACTCGGGGCTATACAAAAGCCTTTAGCTGCAGGGGCGGTTGCATTCGGATGGGCCGTCGCGTAGCATTCGTCGAGCGATGCCATGCGGCACACGGGCGAGCGCCTCGACGAGTTGCATTATGCTGGCTCGCCGCGATGCAATCGTCGAACCAGCGATAAATTATTCAGTGAGCCGTCGCGTTCCACCCTGCGGGCTTCTCGCCTAGCGCCATCATGCATCGCGAAACCCGCTGATGGCGAAACCCGCTGATCGCGATACCCGCTCCTCGCCAAACACGGTGATCGCGAAATCCGTTTAGCGCGTCACCCGCTTCTCGCCTCACCCGCCGCATGCCTCACCTGCGAATCGGCAAAATACTTGCCTCACGCGCTGCTTGGCTCATAACCTTATTTCGTCATTTCCCCCCCTTCCGCCTCTCGTTTCCTCAATCTCGTTTCCCCCTCTTCCGCCTCTCATTTTCCCAGAGCTCCTCCTTCTCGTTTCCCCCCTTTCTCCCTCTCGTTCCCCCCCCCCCCCTCCGCCTCTCATTTTCCCCCCTTCTCCATCTCGTTTCCACCCATCCTCCCTCTTGTTTCCCCCCTCCACCCTCTCGTTTCCCCCCCTTCCGCCTCTCATTTTCCCCCCCATCCGCCTCTCCTTTCCCCCCCTTCCGCCTCTCGTTTCCCCCCCTTCTCCCTCTCATTTCCCCCCCTCCTCCCTCTCGTTTCCCCCCCTTCCCCCTCTCGTTTCCCCTCCTCCTCTCATTTCCCCAACTTCTCCCTCTCATTTCCCCCCTTCTCCCTCTCATTTCCCTCTTCCCCCTCTCATTTCCCCACTTTCCCCCTCTCGTTTCCTCCCCTTCTCCCTCTCATTCCCTCCCCTCCTCCCTCTCGTTTCCCCCGCTCTTCCCTCTCGTTTCCCCCCTTTCTCCCTCTCGTTTTCCCCCCTTCCGCCTCTCATTTCCCCCCTTTCCCCCTCTCGTTTCCCCCCCTTATCAATCTCGTTTTCCCCCCTTCTCCCTCTCATTTCCCCCCCTCCTCCCTCTCGTAACTCTCCCTTCCCCCTCTCGTATTCCCCCCTTCCCCCTCTCATTTCTCCCCCTCCTCCCTCTCGTTTCCCACCCTTCCCCCTCTCGTTTCCCCTCCTCTTCTCATTTCCCCAACTTCTCCCTCTCATTTCCCCCCTTCTCCCTCTCATTTCCCTCTCTTCCCCCTCTCATTTCCCTGCTTTCCCCCCTCTCGTTTCCCCCCCTTCTCCCCCTCATTTTCCCCCTTTCTTCCTCTCATTTCCCCCCCCTGCTCCCTCTCATTTCCCCCCCCTGCTCCCTCTCATTTCCCCCCCTGTTCCCTCTCATTTCCCCCCTGCTCCCTCTCATTTCCTCCCCTGCTCCCTCTCATTTCCCCCCCTGCTCCCTCTCATTTCCCCCCCTGCTCCCTCTCATTTCTCCCCCTGCTCACCCTCACTTCCCCCCTTTCTCCCTCTTCATTTCCCCCTCTCCTTCCCCTCATTTCGCCCTCTCCTTCTCCTCATTCACCCTTTCCTTACCCTCATCTCCCCATCTCGTTTCTCGCATTTCCCCTACTCCGTCCCCTTGTTTCCCCCTCTCCCCTCATTTCATCCTCTCGTTCCTCTTGTTTCCCAAATTTCCCCTTATCCGTCCTCTCTTCTCCCTTTCTCCATCCCCTCCTTTACCCCTCCTTCCCCTCATTTTCCCCTCTCCCTCCCCTCATTCCCCCCTCTCCTTTCCCTCATTTCCCCCCTCCTTACCCTTCCCTGCCCCCACCCTGCCGGCAGGTGAGTGCGCTCATGCTGCTGGCGCGCGTGAGGGAGCTGCAGCGCCCTCACATGCTGCACAGTCCTTCCCCTCCTCCGCCCTTTGCTTACCCTTCCTTACTTCCCCCCGTGCAACCCTTGCTCCCCCTTTGCTTCCCCTCCCTTCCCCTCCAGCTTACCCTCTGTTTCTTCTGCAGCTTGCCCTTGTCTATAAATTTGTTTGTTTTTTTTTTCTTTTTCAACAGCACGACACGAAGGACATCAGGCCTTCTCATTCTGAGTGCTGCTCTTTGCAGCTTAGTGAAACCAAATCAATAGGCAGGAAGTTCCAGCTTGTGTGTGCTGTTAGCGTATCAATCAAGTGAATTGATAGCATAGCATAGCATGTCATAATACATTGAAAATGTTGATGACTGTACCTAGACACAACTTCCCTTCTTTGCGTACAGCATCCTTGCATGATGCACATGGGCACAGCACAGCATTGTATGCGACATCTGACGTGTGTTGTACTCAACTCAAGATACATGGAGGGTTGTCCTCTGCTCTAGCTGGTCATAATTTGTTCAACACTTGTTGAAGAGAGCTGAAAAGAGAGAAAGGCAGCAGGAGAGGGGAAAAGAGGGAAAGGCAGGAGGATCGTGAAAAAGAGGGGAAGGGTAATGCAGGGAGGGGAAGGGTAATGCAGGGAGGGGAAGGGTAATGCAGGGAGGGGAAGGGTAATGCAGCGAGGGGAAGGGTAATGCAGGGAGGGGAAGGGTAATGCAGGGAGGGGAAGGGTAATGCAGGGAGGGGAAGGGTAATGCAGCGAGGGGAAGGGTAATGCAGGGAGGGGAAGGGTAATGCAGGGAGGGGAAGGGTAATGCAGCGAGGGGAAGGGTAATGCAGCGAGGGGAAGGGTAATGCAGGGAGGGGAAGGGTAATGCAGGGAGGGGAAGGGTAATGCAGGGAGGGGAAGGGTAATGCAGGGAGGGGAAGGGTAATGCAGGGAGGGGAAGGGTAATGCAGCGAGGGGAAGGGTAATGCAGGGAGGGGAAGGGTAATGCAGGGAGGGGAAGGGTAATGCAGGGAGGGGAAGGGTAATGCAGGGAGGGGAAGGGTAATGCAGGGAGGGGAAGGGTAATGCAGGGTGGGGAAGGGTAATGCAGGGTGGGGAAGGGTAATGCAGGGTGGGGAAGGGTAATGCAGGGAGGGGAAGGGTAATGCAGGGGGGAAATGAGAGGGAGAAGCGGGGAAAATAATGAGGAGAAGGGGGGGGAATGAGAGGGGGAAGGGGGGTAAACGAGAGGGGGAGGCGGGGAAACGAGAGGGAGAAGGGGGGGAAACGAGAGGGAGAAAGGGGGGAAACGGGGTAATGGGGAGGCGGGAAGGGGGGTGGCGGGAAGGGGTAATGGGGAGCGGGAATGGGAAATGGGGAGGCGGGAAGGGGTAATGGGGAGCGGGAAGGGGAAACAGGGAGGTGGGAAGGGGAAACGGGGAGCGGGAAGGGGAAACATGCAGGCTGGAACGAGAATTGAGGAGTAGAGAAGGGAAAACGGGGAGGCGGGAATGGGTAATGGGGAGCGAGAAGGGGAAACGGGAAGGTGGGAAGGGGAAACGGGGAGCGGGAAGGGGAAACGGGGAGGCGGGAATGGGTAATGGGGAGCGGGAAGGGGAAACGGGAAGGTGGGAAGGGGAAACGGGGAGCGGGAAGGGGAAAAGGGGAGGCGGGAATGGGTAATGGGGAGCGGGAAGGGGAAACGGGAAGGTGGGAAGGGGAAACGGGGAGCGGGAAGGGGAAACGGGGAGGCGGGAAGGGGTAATGGGGAGCGGGAAGGGAAAACGGGGAAGCGGGAAGGGGTAATGGGGAGCGGAAAGGGGAAACGGGGAGGCGGGAAGGGGTAACGGGGAGCCGGAAGGGGAATTGGGGAGGCGGGCAAGGGGAAACGGGGAGGCGGGAAGGGGTACTGGGGAGCGGAAAGGGGAAACGAGGAGGCGGGAAGGGGTTGGACGCTCCCGTTTCTGCAGTCGTTCGCGCACTCAAGTGCGGCTGCCGGGGCTAGTGCGGAAACGTGGTAGCGAGGCTGTGCGATCGGGCCGCGACTGTGATCGTGCGTGTTCGGCAGTTTGAGACGAGTCGTACGCGTTCACAGTGGCGTGAGGAGGCAGCGTCGTGAGGCGACACGACGGACGACGAGGCGAGGCCGTGATAGGAGGTCCCGCGGGATCGCTGCGTGAGAGGGCGGAACTGACGTTGGTTTATCCCTATAATTACACTAAACTGCCCCACGCGTCTAGGTTTGTGTCGGAAACGAGGGTAATTTGCGCTGGCTGTTGAGTCGCGATGTGCTTAGCTACGTATTATGCTGCCCGTAGAGCGTACTGGCATAGATCTCACGTAGGCTGGATTTCGTACACTTTTGTCGACCCAAAAGTTTTGAACCACCAGCGAGTGCTGGGTGTCGGGGAGATCTCCCTCCCTTGTTCAGAGAGTGAACTAGCTGTAACTGGGTTACCAATATTTCAAATTTCAAAACTTTTGAACCTCCCTCTTTCAAGTGTATACAAAAGCTTGCAGTCAGGGCCCAAAATAGGTTTTAGCTCACTCTTTCAAATCAGGGTGGCATCCCCTCCCTCTTTCAAAGTTTCTCGTACACTGATTGTAGCAGCCTAAAAGTTTTGGTACACTGATTTTGGCAGGATAATATATGTCGTACACTGTTTTCTTCCTAAGCATAAGATTGTACTACTACAACAATTACTGTTCTGCACTGCACCTACAAGCTTTACTACCAACCAAGTTAAATAGAGGGCCCTATAGAAGACACTAGTCAATCAATATCTGCTGCACTAGCAACTGCCTCGTCTGCAAACTGCTTAGTGCTGCTGGCCTTCATGCCGGAGAAGTCTTTGGTGGATCGCCTGAGCTTCTCCCCGCGGAATATGGCGACCACCTCATACCAGTCAATGTCGTACTGCAGGAGGGAGCACCGCATCAGGTGCTCAAGGCTTGTGTCGCCGAGGCTGCCGCGGTCCCACGTCTTGATCAGGTTCTGCTTGCTGAAGTCGCGCTCACATTCAACCGTGCTCAGTGGTAGCACTGCGACAGACTGCCACATCCGGACGATGTTGGGGAACGACGCACGCCACGCCTCGTCGCGCAGCATGTTCCCCAGCGCCTGATGAAACTCCTCGCCGTTGTGCTGGGAGAACATGGTCGAGGTAAACATCCAGAGCTCCTGGCCGGCACGCTTGTAGTCGAACCCTGGTAGTGCGGAAGGGGATGATCATTGGCAGACGCTCATACATACGGGTAGGATTGGGAGGCATTAGTCCACAATACAGGGCCGGGTGATGAGTAGCAACAAGCGCGATGGGAAACAAGCTGGTGCAAAGTTGTTTACGCAAGTCAATCACTAATACCCGCCCCATCTAACAAACACGCTTACCAGGCAGCTTGTGATTGTACAGCTTGTGGAGCTGGCCAAGCCACTTCCTGAAGGACTCCAGCCGCTGGGTGTCGTCGGTCACATACGACGCCGTACGAAACAGCTTGGCGCCTTCGAGGAGGTTGAGGTCGCGCATGCACCACTCCAGCTCCGCGTCCACTTTGCGGATGAACTTGAGCGAAAGCTCGAAGCACGCGGTTACATCACCATCTGTCTCATTCGAAGGGTGAATACGAAGGAGACGGCGTTGCCATCCGCGTCCACGCCTTCCGCTTTCATCTGTCGCTTATCCATCTTCTGGTGAGCCTTGATGAAGTCAAGCAGCTGCATCTTCTCTCCGCTGCCAAAAAAGTGACCAGGGGACCTGTCGAAGTAGCGCGTCTTCAGGCGCATCCGCGTCTGTTGTACAAGGTGCGCCACGAGGATGGCGTCCACCTGCACACACATAAGACATGCGGTCAGAAAGAGCATTATAGGCGTGCGTGTAAGTACAACTGTGCTTGTCAGTAGGTTACCTGACGTTGCTGAAAGCGCAGATTGAGCTGGTTGAGCTCCCAGAGCACATCCGCGAGGAAGCGGAGGAGCCAGTGGAACTTGAACGAGGTGACTAGCTCGTACAAGTCCTTCTTGTAGTCCTTCAGCACAACAATGGCGGCAGGCAGAACGTCAAAAAAACCGCTGGATCGCCTCGCCACGGGAGAGCCAACGCACGTCGTTTATGCCCTGCGCCTCCAGATTCGTCTGGCAGTAGACACGCTGGAGATTTTGAAACTTGGTGTAGTCCACGCTGCTGCGGCTGATGTGCTCGGAGAAGGCACGCACCTCGTCGTCCACCATGCCGAGCTCGGGGACTGCCTCCGCCGCATCCTTAGCTGCCAATGCCTCCCTGCGCATTCAACTGGAGCATGTTAGTACGGTTTGCGCGTCACTGATCCTGTGCTGGAAAAAACTCAGAATCCAACATGTGTACCTGTGAGTGACGCAGTGAGTTGAAGCCAGGTGTGGTATGCGCAGTCGCAGCCTCGCGACTAGACCGTTGTTCTTGCCGGTCATCACACTCGCCCCGTCCGTAGATATTCCAGAAATCCTCTGGAGATCCACCCCGATTCCTGTAAAGTACTGCACAACAGCGGAGGTTAGCGAGGCCGCATCGGCACGGTCCACGGTAATGAGAGTTAAAGACTCCGTTACCGGAGTTACCCCTTTGAAGAATGTCGCATACAGTATCAGGTGCTTGCCATTCACCCGGTCGGTGCTCTCATCCAGAAGAATCCCTATATATGGGGATTCCAGAAGGTGGCCGCGTTGAGTCTCTTGAAGGTAAGTGGAGGTTGCGCGCAGCATCTCTTTGAATCCGTAGTGTCAGAATCCCAACCACTAGACCATTGGGATAAAAGGGCTTGTTTCAGTAGCGGGTCAGTGCGCCCATAACCCCCCAGGCAAACGCGCCTGTAACCCCCCTTAGGATCGATCGGGGATCTCACAGTGTAGCTCTACTGACACCCCCCCCACACTGGGAGGCTCAGGACTGAGCACAGTGGTAACGACCTAAATGTGCATACACCGGGATTCGAACCCGAGACCGCTCTGATACCATGTCAGAATCCCAACCACTAGACCATTGGGATAAAAAGGCTTGTTTCAGTAGCGGGTCAGTGCGCCCATAACCCCCCAGGCAAACGCGCCTGTAACCCCCCCTAGGATCGATCGGGGATCTCACAGTGTAGCTCTACTGACACGTAGCTGCGAGGACAACACACATGGTACACGAACACAAGTTGCAGTAGCATCTGGTCAGCTTGAGTCACGGAACAAACACAAGCGCCACGAACCCGCACTTACTCGATGTAGTAGGCGCCGTACCCTCCAGACGGTGGAAGGTCCGGCAGTCCTTCCTTAGCCAGAAACCAGCACAAAGGAACAAACATTGCTATTGGCGTGCCAGCCTTGCAGATGAAGAGCGCGAGGTGGAGGCAGCGGATGTTGTGCCGTGTAGCTGCATCAGTGCTCTGCCACCTTGTTAGTGTGGCTTGCTTCGCCTTTTCCGCGTCTGCTTTGGCCTCGTTTTCCAAGGCCTGCTTGTGGGCTCTGCTTGATGTGTGCGCGCGGATGCTCCCTAGCTGCATGTCTCGGGCACCCTCACCTCTGACGCCGTAGGCAGTGTGCGCGTTTGGATCCCCGTGCTTGATGCAGATGGCACATTTCAATGACGGCCTGCCGTTAGTCATGCGCATTAAGCGCAACCAACTGAATTTCTTTGACCATTGCGAATCGAAAGTCGTTTTTACCAACTCATACTCAGCCTCTGCAGAAGCGGTTGGAGGCTTCGGCTGAGCAGGAGCAGCACGGCGTGGCGGTGATGCCTCTTGTCGTGGAGGAGGGGCGCCCTAGAGCCTCTGCTGGTTGTATGTCACGCCCACACGGTGTCGCTTCGCGGGCGCGGAGCTAATTGTGGACGGGGCTGCAGTGGCCGGCTTCGACGGGCCTTCGCCGCCATCGGGAACAAGCTCGAGAGACGGGTGTGGCTCCCGGGACTTTGGCGAGGCCGAACGCTCGCACGGGAAAACGGTGCCGACAAGAAATTCAGGGGATGGCTCACGCGCAGGCTGAGAGATAGGGACGCTATAGTTCTCAGCCAGCCGAGGTAACACACCGAGAACGGAGAGACCGTTCCTGGTGCTACCAGGCGGATCAGGCTCAGAGGCAGGCATTCGGAACAACAAACGAGAGGGAAATGAGAGAATGGCAAGAGCCTGAGAGACCCCTCGGGAATCACAAAGCCCAAGGCGCCTCAGGCAGCAAGGTTCCCTCGCTGGTAGGGAACTGCACGGCAATGGCTGCAAGGCCACAGTGACTGCCAGGTGGTGGAAACGACAGCACGTGGCGCGCAATTTGCCTCCGTTGGCAGTGCGCGATGTTGCGTGACGCACGGAAACTGGGTGCGTTGGCTTCAATGGCGCTCAACGGACCAATCGTAGGTGTGCGGTGCCATCCGCCCTGAATGTACGTTGGCGCGCCAGTGGGTGTATCCAACAAATGGTCCAGTGGGACCGTGGAGCATTTCGTCGTGGCGCGGACTGTGGCGGAATCCGCGGTTCGGAAAAGTTCCGGTAAAAGGGTAGTTGAACCCCTACCCTGATACAGTCAGTGTAACTGGAAAAGCTACAAGAGTACTTTTAAGCGTATTCTGATTGCACTATGGTAAAAATCTGCATACCCTGATTTGAAAAGGGTAACTGCCAAAAAGTGGCCTATGAGCAGTGCAAAAAGGGTAAAATACCCTTGAAATTTGGGCCCTGATTGCAGTGATCATTTGTTTTGACAGCTGCATTATGTCCGGTCACCTTCTACTCGCCTCACTCAACCACGCATGCACATTTAACACCACATTAACTACCATACCTGCCTTTGCAAGCACCTGAAAGGAGCAGAACCACTAAGGCTTTGTTCAATGGCTACAACCTTTGAGTCCATATCAGAAGGCAGCAGCAGCATCTGCCCTTTGCTTGATGAGGTCTGCTCGTTGGCTCTTCCCATTGCCTCTAACAGCCACGTCACTCCCTCCCTCACCCCCGTGCTGCACACACAAAGGCATGCACAGAGATGGTTGTGAATGAACTGTCAGACACACTCCCTCTCACACACACACAGATATACATGCACACGCCGCCACATGCACACATGAACGTACGAACATGCAGGCACACACAGGCATACAACTGTGTAGTGCCTGCCAGGGCAACCATAATCACCAACAACACAAGATGCCCCGTCACAGGGAATACTTGGCCCAAAAAGCTCCACTCACCTCTCTTCGACTCTTCGTCACTCACCTGACCACCACTTGCATTGCCCAAACACACCCTCAGTTGTTCCCAAACCCTCAACTCTTCTCCCACCCACATCACCCCGTTCACACATCATACGCTCTATCCCACGCTCCTATGTTATCACACCCTAACCCTAGCACGCCCTCAGCATTGCCCGCCCACCACAATCTCCTCCCCCTGATGCCCCCCTTTCCTCTCCCCCTTATTCCCATTCCCAGCCCCTTCCCCCACTCGGCCCTTGAGGTCCCGCAGCTCCAGGCAGTGCGTCAAGTTCTCCTCGCCCACTGCCGAGGGTAGGTCCTGAGGGGGACGCACAGGGGCAAGTGGGAGCCGGGGGTGGGGGAGGGAGGTGGGGGAGGGAGGTGGGCGAGGGAGGTGGGCGAGGGAGGTAGGAGAGAGAGGCATAAGGGAGAAGGGATGTGTGAGTGAGGGGGTTGCGGCAGGGAGGTGAGAAATGGATGCGTGGAAGGAAGTGCAGCAGGTGGTTATGAGAATTTCCAGGCGTCTGAAAACATCGTTCCAACTGCTGCAGGCAGTGAGATGGGCAGAAAACATCATTCCAACTCCCCTACAAGCCCATCTCCCCCTCTCCACACCCTGTGCCAGCACAATGCTTCTGCCTGAGCTGGAGCAGGGGGGAGTGTGTCAATGCTACAGCTTACATCACACTGCTCTCAATTCTATTAAGGCGTAGTCATTGCTGTTACTTTTTGACCAGCAAGAATGCGGAAGCTTCAAGTACAGACTTACAGACTCCAACATGCTTCCTTCTCCCGCGCTCCACCTTTCCCCATGCCTCCCTCCCACCTCTGCCATGCTTCCCCATTGTACACACACACACCTGCTTGTTTGCTGAAATTAAGATTGGAGCTCCAACCAGGTCTTCATGTCTCAACACCTTTTCTGGTGGTGGGGAATGAGGATGAGTGCGGGGCATAGACACAGGGATGTGGCACGTGGAAGACAGAGTGGGTTGAGAGCGTTGAATGGAGGAGAGGGAGGAGCAAGTAGAGGATAAAAAAAATGCCAAGATATAGATGCTAAAAAAGGATATCTTCGGGACATTAAAACAGGACCATCACCACGAGATTCCCTATGTTATAAAGCATGCTTCTTACGTCATCGAGGTATTTAACGTATTCTGCTAGACCATGTTGGCAGGTACTTGGGATAGAGGGGAATGAGAGAAGCCTGTAAGCAGCGGAATTCCCTTAAGCTGCTAGCGGCACAGGGGAGGAGGAAAGGTGGAATAATTGAGGACGGGGGGAAGGCAGAAGCGGAGGTGGAGGGGAAGTGCAAGGGGGAGTGAAAAAGAAAAAGAAAAGAAGTGTTCAGACGCGCTGAACCCTCTCTCTCTTCCCACTCTCCCCGTGTCAGCTCTTACCCCTTCCCCCCTCCCACCCTCGCTCTCACACCACACGCCAAACACCGCCCTCACTCGCCCCGCACTTCCCTCCTCGTCCCAGGTCACTCGCACCTGGCCGCGCAGGACGCAGACGATGAGCACAACCCTCACATTCAGCACTCCTCTTCCTTCTCCCCCACTTTTCTCACAGCCTCAGCTGCCTTCGCCAGCTTCGTCAGCTTCGCGAGCGAACAAAGCTCCCTCAGAAACTAACGATTTCAAAACAGAGGAAAAATGCAACGCGCTGCAGAAGAGAATCGTTACCCTCTCGATGTGCTGTGGCTATCATTCTCGACCCTCTGAAGGTCCCGTTCAAGCTCTCGGCAAATCCTTCCCGAACCTACTTTGAACGCCATGGCCAAGGGAGAAGTTTCTGGGTTAAGCTTTCGACCTAGTGACTAGCTTGCTCCCCATAACCTCTCGCTTCCAGCTCGGTCGCTACTATCAGACCCAGCAATGCGATCGTTATTCAAAACATACAAGTCGTCTCCTAAGCTAACCTGATTCCGGCCATGATCGCTCTTGGCCAGTCGTCGTTGCGCATTTGCGTGTGTTGCAACAATCACTCACAGCGAAAACTGCACATCACACGCCATAAAAGATAGAAAATACTCGTTCTTGAGTGCAGGCGTGAACGCCATACAGCGATTATAAATACTTGAAATATATCTGCAAGTACGCCTGTCAAGTCTTTTACATACTCTTACAGCTTATGCCGTTGAAGTCACAAGAAAGTGCCTTTTCCGGGTTTGTGCGCACTGGAAGGTAAAATGTTATATTTGTCTAAGAATTTGACAGTAACAGCACCTATAATATATTACAAGAGCGCACAGAGCTACACAGACTGTAATAGCTACTGGAGCAGTTTCTGTTCTGTGCTTCCACAGATAAATATCACCCTGTGCTTGCTTCTGTGGCGCCAGCAGCTTCAAGACCTCCAGAGAGGTCTTGCTGCTACCTTGGTGGTGCTGCCAGCGTTCCTCCTCTGCACTTCACAGCGTGCTCTCTCTCCTGCTGCTGCCTCATGCTGCTTGCTGTGGGCTTCTGGTGGGCTAGAGCACCACCACGTGCATTCCATGCCTTCCCCTCCACACCACCCACCTTCACACGCGCTCCTGTGCTGCCTACCTCGGGAATCCGCCACGGCAGAACCACTTGCAACAGAGGCAGCAGCAGTGGCATGAGCAGCGAGTGCAGCAGCAGCAGCAGCAGCAGGGCGCCATGCAATGCGTTGAGCACATCAGAACTCGTCCCGTTGCTGCATGACGTCTTGACGCTACCAGTGCTCGTTTGCTCGCAGTCACTCCGAGAATCCTCCTCCGCTTCCTCCTCCTCTGCAGCTGCCGCGCATTCAGTGGGGAAGCTCAGCGGCACTTGCAGCTGAAACTGCTTTTCCGTCGACTCAGAAATCGCCTCGGGAGTTTCCTCAGAAGTCGCTTCAAGAGTTGGCTCACAAGGCACCGCGCATGCAGTCGCGGAGCTCGGCGTCACTTCAAGATGCGCGCGGGACTGCGTAACCTCTTCGCGCTTCCTCCAAAGGCTCAGGACTTCCGCGAACGACGACGAGGTGTATCCAGGCGCGGAAGCGTCGGCCATTCAACGGATCCTCGAGGATACCGACGGGCCTGCCGAAGTGTGAGGCCGAAACCGAGCGGTGGAACTAGCAGAGACGAACCTTGAGGGAACACTGCTTGCTGTTGCAGCCTCGGGTGCAAAGCTAGAAGTACCGGAGAGAGCTGAAAGCTTAGGATGTTCTGATCTGGCAAGGGTAATAGTGCTGCAGCTGTGGGAGCTGGCTGGAGAGTAACGAGTTAGTACGAAACTGGCGATCAAGATCAGCTGGAGAGTTGAAACTTAGAGCGACGAATGAGGGTGAGTAGAGGGAGTGCGGGTTTGTACTCGCAGAGGCGATCGCAGGCGACGGGGGGAGAGCGAGAGGGTTGCTGCGACAAGGCGGGGTGGAGGAGAGCCGAGGCACTGGGAACTCACGCAGCGGGCAGGAAAGGGCAGAACGAACTTTTGCGATGTCGGTGTGCGGACTTGCAGGGGATCGAAACTATTTTCGAGGCGTTGTCAAGTTTCTGGCCGTGGCGTTCGGGGACGTGACAGAGCAGTGCAGTCGGGTGGCTTTTCCTTTCCAGACGATGCGGATGGTCCATTCGGACCGAACCTGCTGGCTAAGCGATTTTGCCGGGAGGAGCTGCGACGCGAAAGCTTTGTCATTCCTACCCCCGCTGCCCGTGCGTGTGCGAAGATGGAGGCGGCTTTGAGACTCGCGAGGGCACTAAACGTGTGCGAACGCATTCGCGAAGGGATTGACAGACGTCACCGATATAATCGCGTCTGGTTACTCTTCGTGGGTCGCCTATTTCGAAATGGCGGGAAGTGGCCGACAGGCAGAGTCGCATCTCCTACCCCAGCGTTCAGGCAGCGTGATGGATCTACATTTTCAAGGCCATGAGCTCTGGAACTAAGGGCGCGTGTGGTCTTACAAATTTGTGAAAGTTTATGTTTTTAGGTCGAATGTAGCATTTGAACAAAACTCGACTTTCTTTCCAGCGAAGTTCGAATCTTGGGTCTCCAACACAGACGAGTCACAATCACACACCCAAGGTCGAACACAGAGATTCGACCTTTTAGGGATGGCGGCGAGCCGCCCGTAGGGGAGTTGGTTACCTGGTACAGCGCGACACGTTAACGTAATGCGCAACGAAGCACGCGCCCTAATCGTGGGGATAATCTTGAGAGGGAGGTCAAACTGTACTCCCTTTAGTGGGCTTCTTTCTACGGAGAAAAGTGTTTGAAGGCACCGTAAAGACCCTATAACTGTTACACCTCTGTTATTAATTCTGACGATCGCATAAGGACCCTTTTTATAATACAGTCTCAAGAGTGTTATAGTGGAATTTTAATTCCTTCAAAATGATACCGTTACACTTTAATTAATTCCCTTGCAGTCAAAGGAATCAAGAGTGTTTGCTGTCTGTTGTTTTTCAAGTGAAATTTCATTTGTGACAAGGGCAATTTGGTAGTTTTGGGCCTTGTAATCTTATTATGCGTGTACATATCGAACTGTCCGTTGTTGAGTTTCGGCGACGTGAGAGTGGTGCTCCTCCCCCAAACCAGCAATTCGCATGGTGCCGTTTCCCGCCTTGTGCGACTGTAAACGGCTAGTTTGTTACCAGACACAGCACAGATCACGCAACAGTAATCGCTACCTGGTTTGTTCGCCGTTTCGCTGCCTTCCTCCATCCTCAACCTGCTCACAACCAATCTCCTTGGATGGTTTGAGCAATAGAATCTCGACTCGCTTTTTCTGGCTTCTGAATTCATCTGCTTCCTTGGACGACTATTATTGTTAGGATCTGGTTACTCATCTCTCTAGCAACTCTGTCGGGGTCTCCCGCGACCTGGCCTCCACGAATGCTTTATTCGCCTTATTTTTTAGCGCATTCTATCTCCTGTTCGCTGTCGCAGTTGTGCTCGAATTGCCGGCCGCGTTTCACTGGCCATTATCGTAGACCCGTTTGAGACGGCGGCTCTGGTGACATTGCGTTGGAACCCGTATGCGTTGCGTCTTAGGCCCATGATGGATGGCAAAAGCCCGAGGCACGAAGAGAGGGGACGGTTGCAGCTCTGTTAGAATGATAGATTGCTACCTTCAGAATATTGTCAATCAAAAGCATTAGACGCAAACCGCTGTTTATATCGCGTTGATTTCATTCATTTCTGTCTGTACCTTATTAAATTCTCGGTATATTTAGGGATCACGGACGGTGTTCCTTCCTTCTCGCGTGGGTCTCGACGGAAACTTCTTATCTCGAGCCACGAAGCCGCGAAACAACGCGTTATAGAGTAGATTTGAGACCTAGGGTCTGGGTGGATTACGCGGGACGAAGGCGAAGCAAAGAATTAAGGAAATAAGGCGAGCGAGGAATCTTCCTGCACTGGTTTGCGCGTGGTTTGGGTCCCTGCCTTGAGTTGGATTCCCCTGTCCGAAACGGGCCTGTGCGTCTCGTCCAGATCGACACTCTCTTTTGCCCGCGTCTGACGCTACGCTTCCTCATCCGCAACGGACACGGCTGTTCTCAGAGAGCACCACCAGCAGCAGCAGCAGTACTCGAAACCGCGAGGTTGTCGGACTACCAGGCAGCACCGTCGCCTGTGCACGCGCGGCGCGGGGCGGCGCGGCGAATCGAGGGAAGGCGAGGCGAGACGAGGCGCGGCACCTAGCGTCGCGATGTTTTCGCTGCTGTTGGGGCTGTGGCGGTACTTCTTCTCCAAGGCCGAGTACCACATCCTCATCCTCGGCATTGACAAGGCCGGCAAAACGGTGAGCCACCGGTGGGGGCCGGCGAGCGTTGGAGTCGACGTTATACTCACCTCGCGCTACTGTCACACACGTTCACTGCAAAAATTGGCAATTTTTAACGCTTGTAGTTAACCAAGAGAGTTTGGATATTGTTCTTCCAAGGCATGATGAGCAGCACATGCTCATCCTCCGCATAGACAGTACCTGCATGCAACGGTGAGCCGGCGAAGCCAGCGCGTTGCTATGATGGCGTGTGGTGGCGGGCGCGTGGCAACATGTGAGCAGAGGGCAAGCGCTCGTGCTCGTGAACTGAATATGCTGCTCTGGCCTCTTTATTCTCGTCGGGCTTGTGCTATGATGTGCTGCCGTCTCCGACTGAGTGAGCACAGAATGTTTTGACGTACGGGTGTGTGTTAAAATCCTCTCCCAGAGCTAGGGTGCATTCTTCATTCACCCACTTCCACTCACAGTCCAAATCCCCCGTGCATTTTCGATCCTGCTTGCAATCCCGCATCCCCCCATCCCTTTTGTCAGCCATTGGTCTCTCGACTCGTTCTTGGAAAGTCTTTGCTCGCAACTGCGGCTCTGGTCGTTTTTCCTGCCCGGTTCAGCCATCAAGCATGACTTTGTCTCTGTGTGACGGTTTCGTATCTTCGTACCTGCCTGCCTCGCCAGTCACAATATCCTTCCCCCACCCCCCATCCCTTCCCTCCCTTCACCTCTCCTCCCCTTGCCTCTCCTCTCCTCTCGTCTCCTCCCCTCCACTTCCTCTTTGCACCTTCCCCCGCGCTCACTCACACCCTGGCGGCTTTGGCTCCTCCTCCTCCTCCTCCTCCTCCTCCTCCTCCTCCTCCTCCTCCTCCTCCTCCTCCTCCTCCTCCTCCTCCTCCTCCTCCTCCTCCTCCTCCTCCTCCTCCCCCCCCTTCCCGCTGCCCCTCAACCTCCTCCTCCCCCTCCCCCTCCCCCTCCCCCTCCCCTTCCCCTTCAGTACGCGGTCTACGAGGGGCACGCCGCTTGCCACCTCCGTTTTCCTCAGGTCCCTTCTCTCCCCCCATATGCGCCCCAAACCTCCCCGCGCCCCACTCCCCCGTTTCGTTTCAGACCCTCCTGGAGCGCGTGAAGGGCCTGCACACGGACTACGAGGGCATTCCGCCTTCTCTCGTTCTGCCCCCGTGTACTTTTTCTCAAACCACTCCCTCTCCCCCTCTTTCTTCCCCTCAACGCCCACGCCCGCAACCCTTCCCTCCCCCCCTCTCCTTCCCCAGACCCTCCTGGAGCGCGTGAAGGGCCTGTACACGGACCACGAGGGCATTCCGCCTCCTTCTGACCTTTCCGCGAACCCTCAGTCTCTCCCCATAACCTCCGCGGTCCCCCTGCTCCTCCCCTCCCCCCCCCCCCCCCGGTTTCGTTTCAGACCCTCCTGGAGCGCGTGAAGGGCCTGTACACGGACTACGAGGGCATTCCGCCCGACCGCGTGGTGCCCACGGTGGGGCTCAACATAGGGCGCGTGGAGGCGCACAAGGCGAAACTCATCTTCTGGGACCTGGGGGGACAGGTGCGCAAGTGGGGGGGGAGGGGGAGAGCGGACAGAGGGAAGTGAGGGGAGAGAGGGGCGAGATCGAGGGATGGGGATGGCAGCTCAAGTGTTGGGCGCGTGGAGGCGCACGGATGCTGGATTTGCGGTGGATCATGGTATGGGAGAGGTAGGGTGGGAGGATACCTGGAGGTACTAACGGTGGGGCTCATCATAGGGCGCGTGGAGGCACACAAGGCGAAGCTCATCTTCTGGGACCTGGGCGGGCGGGTGCGCAAGGGGGGGAGGGAGGGGAGGATGATGGGTAGGGTAGACCCGGGCGGCCAGTTGAAGGAGGTGGTGGTGGGGCGTGGTATGGAGGAGGGAGGTTGGGAGGATACCTGGAGTGGACCAGGCCGGCCAGGTGGCTTGTGGATTGGAGGGCGAAGGAGGAAGGCGGAGAGGGGGGAGAGCGGAGAAAGGGGAGAGGGTGAAACAGAGGGGAAGAGAGGGGAGAGGAAGCAAGGGGGAGTGTGCACGTGGTGGGTGACGATTTACCATTCCAGGAATCTTGACTTCTCTGAAGAAACATAATCCTTACCTCACCCTATCCCTTTTTCCTCGCCTTTCCCCTCCCCCACCCCCCTCATTCCTTTCCTTATCCTCCCCACTCCTTACCCTTCTCTTCCCCATGCTGCTTCCCTGTGCCTCCCGCCTATCGCCCCCCCATGTGCGTGCAGATAGGGCTGCGCACGATATGGGAGAAGTACTACGAGGAGGCGCATGCAGTGATCTACGTGGTGGACGCTGCCTGCCCCGACAGATTCGACGACGCCCGAGGGGCGCTCGGTGGGTGCCCGCCTGCTGGGGAGCTGCTGGGTGATGTCAGGGAGGGCGAGCGGGTGGTTGAGGGAGGGAATGTGTGTGTGCTGCAGTGTGTTGGGACTTGGAAAGGGTGTGAGGGAGTATGCGTGAGTGAGATTTTGGCATGCACACCAGGGTAGAGATTCAGCAAGGTTTGGTGGTGCCTACACTTTTGGGGCAACTAGCAGCATTCGCCACTCGCGTGGGGGAGTGGTGCAACTGACGCCCTTACTCTTCCCTTACTCTTCCCTTACTCTTCCCTTACTCTTCTCTTTATTCCCCTCCATCCCATCTATCTGCTAACGTGGAAATTTATACTAGGATTTTTAGCTGAGAGGGTCTCATGGTGGTCCTGTTCTGATGTGCTAAAAACATTATTTCAGACTATTGTTTTTGTCCTCTGCTTTGTCGTTCTCCCTCGCCCTCTCTCAACCCTCACACCCACTCTGCCTCTTATTGCCTCGCCCCGTGCTTATCTCTCTCGTACATCCCCATTCCTCCTCTCCAGAGAAGGTGCTGAGACATGAAGACCTGGTTGGAGCTCCAATCTTGATCTTCGCCAACAAGCAGGTGTGTGTTCACGATGCATGGTGGTAGAATTCAGAAGGCGGGTAAAAAATGAGACATGAAGGCCTTGTTGGCGCTCCAATCTCAATTTTCGCTAACAAGCAGACATGTTTGCGTGGTGGGAGATATGGCGAGGGTCGGAAGAAGGAATGGTGACGGGGGGGGAGCTGAGGGACCTCAAGGGGCCACTCGTCTCAAATGTCTCCTCTCACCTATCTGCTCGCTTCTACCCTTGCCTCTCCCACCTGCCTGTGACCGCCACTCCTCAGGACCTACCATCGGCAGTGGGCGAGGAGGACTTGACGCACTGCCTGGAGCTGAGGGACCTCAAGGGGCGCTCCGCCATGGTCATGCCCGTGTGCGCCTATGATGGGTGAGATGCAGGGGGGGGGGGAGAAGGAGGGCGGGGGTGAGGGTGGTTGGGCGGAGAGGAAGGAAAAAGGCGAGGGGGGGAAGGGTCAGGCGAGTAGATTGTGGTTGTGCGGGGCTGGGGTGTGATAACAGATGAGCGCATGATATGTGAGCGAGGTGATGTGGGTGGGGGAAGAGTTGAGGGTGCGAACACCTTAGAGTGTGTCTGGGCAATGCAAGTGGTTGTTACCAAGGGATTGGAAGGGAGGTGGGGAGCCTGAAGAGGAAGAGACCTGAGTGGTTCGTTTAGCGCTGTGAGTACATTTTGTGCGGATGCAGTTTGAGAGTAGGTTTAGCCGTAGTATTGTTGGCACTTCTCAGTGACCTTGGTGAAAGTAGGACGTGTGTGCATGTATGCCTGTGTGTGTCTGCTCGTGTGTGTCTCTGATGTTTGTGTGCAAGAGAGATCTGATGTTTGTGTGCAAGAGAGACGGAGAGTGTGTCTGACGGTGTGTCTGCTTTTACTACCATTTGTGCATGGCAATGTGTGCATGCCTTTGTGTGTCCAGCACGGGGGTGAGGGAGGGAGTGACGTGGCTGGTGGAGGCAATGAGGAAGAGCCAACGAGCAGACCTCATCAAGCAAAGGGCCGATGCTGCTGCTGCCTTCTGATAGGAGCTCGGCGGGTGGGTGAGGGCATCTGAGGTGATCTCGTATAGGAGGAAGAGAGGAGAGACAGCTGGAGGCTTGGAGAAGGAACAGGAGGAGACAGGTGATTGGACATATTGTAATGCTTGTAGCCATGAAACATAGACTTACTGGTGCTGCTCATGTTAGCTGCTTGAGAAGGCAAGAATGTAGGTTTAGCGGTGGTAGATATGTGAGTACGGTTGTATGTGGTGAGAAAAAGGTGGCAGGACATACCATATGCAGCTGTCAAGTCATTGCTGCCTGGTCTCAACTGCCCAATAAAGGTGTAGAACAAAGCATGGTAGCTGTAATATATGAGTAGTGCTACTGCCTGACCAGAAACATACCTTGTGATGTTTCGCCAGTCAAAGACAGGTTTGGATGAAGAGATGTTTTTGGAGTGTCACTATTGTTATCTAGAGACATACTAGAGGGAGTACAGATTCTGAGGTGATCTCGTATAGGAGGAAGAGAGGAGAGACAGCTGGAGGCTTGGAGAAGGAACAGGAGGAGACAGGTGATTGGACATATTGTAATGCTTGTAGCCATGAAACATAGACTTACTGGTGCTGCTCATGTTAGCTGCTTGAGAAGGCAAGAATGTAGGTTTAGCGGTGGTAGATATGTGAGTATGGTTGTATGTGGTGAGAAAAAGGTGGCAGGACATACCATATGCAGCTGAGCCTGTCAAGTCATTGCTGCCTGGTCTCAACTGCCCAATAAAGGTGTAGAACAAAGCATGGTAGCTGTAATATATGAGTAGTGCTACTGCCTGACCAGAAACATACCTTGTGATGTTTCACCAGTCAAAGACAGGTTTGGATGAAGAGATGTTTTTGGAGTGTCACTATTGTTATCTAGAGACATACTAGAGGGAGTACAGATTCTGAGGTGATCTCGTATAGGAGGAAGAGAGGAGAGACAGCTGGAGGCTTGGAGAAGGAACAGGAGGAGACAGGTGATTGGACATATTGTAATGCTTGTAGCCATGAAACATAGACTTACTGGTGCTGCTCATGTTAGCTGCTTGAGAAGGCAAGAATGTAGGTTTAGCGGTGGTAGATATGTGAGGAGTACGGTTGTATGTGGTGAGAAAAAGGTGGCAGGACATACCATATGCAGCTGTCAAGTCATTGCTGCCTGGTCTCAACTGCCCAATAAAGGTGTAGAACAAAGCATGGTAGCTGTAATATATGAGTAGTGCTACTGCCTGACCAGAAACATACCTTGTGATGTTTCACCAGTCAAAGACAGGTTTGGATGAAAAGATGTTTTTGGAGTGTCACTATTGTTATCTAGAGACATACTAGAGGGAGTACAGATTCTGGATCTTCCACCTCGGGTTCATCCCTCCCACTGATGGTTTTGAAGCACATCTCAATCCCTAGACACTGCCGTCGAAGTCGCTTCAAATTTACTTCTTGGCAGTCACTTCCCGCCATTTCTTGGCAGCAACCAGCCGCGTTTCGGGTCGGCGGCTGTCTGTCCATCCCGTCGTAAATGCGTTTCGCACAAGTCTAGTGCCCTTGCGATTCCCAAACCGCCTCTGCCTTCGCACACGCAGACCATCGCAGCTCCTCCCGGCAAAATCGCTTAGCCAGCAGGTTTGGTCAACATGGACCATCCAAAACCGTCAGCTAAAGGCAAGCCACCGGACTGCACCGCTCCGTCAGGTCCCCGGAGGCCATGGCCAGACAGCTTCGGAAATAGCTTCGTTCCCCTTCACGTTTCGCGAAACCACATGAGAGTTCCCATGCCTGCCCGCTCGGGTCGCATAGCCACTCCTTCCTGCATAATCGTCTGGTTCGGTTGATTGGACGAGCCTCACCGTCTGGACAAGGAAATTAACCGGACTGAACCGTTCTGTCACTTCCCCGGAGGCCACGGCCAGAGGCTTGACACTGCTTCGGAATTAGCTTCGTTCCCCTGCGAGCCCGCACAGCGACTGCCCGCTGCGTGAGTTCCCAGTGCCTCGTCTCTCCTCCACCCCGCCTTGTCGCAGCAACCCTCTCGCTCTCCCCTCTTTTTTTTGTTTTGTTTTTTTTTTTTTTTTTGTTTTTTTTGTTTTTTTTTTGTTGAAGGATGCATTGCACTTATAAGGTGAGTACATCCAGAGTCGTAACTGTAAGGGGGAAGGGATCGGGTAGATAGGAGGTCTACACCGCCCTTCCTTTCTCGCTCTCCCCTCGTCGCCTGCGATCGCCTCTGCGAGTACAAACCCGCACTCCCTCCACTCACCATCATTCATCGCTCTCTCTTCTTCGGTTTCAACTCTCCAGCTGACCTCGATCGCCAGTTTCGTACTATCTCGTTACTCTCGAGCCAGCTCCCACAGCTGCAGCAATACTATTATTGCCAGATCAGAACATTCTAAGCTTTCAGCTCTCTCCGGTACTTCAAGCTTTGCACCCGAGGCTGCAACAGCAACCAGGGCTCCCTCAAGGTTCGTCTCTGCTAGTTCCGCGGCTCGGTTTCGGCCTCACACTTCGCTCGGTTGAATGGCCGACGCTTCCGCGCGTGCGTACACCTCGTCGTCGTTCACGGAAGTCCTGAGCATCTGGAGGAAGCGCGAAGAGGTTGCGCAGTCCCGCGCGCATCTTGAAGTGACGCCGAGCTCCGCGACTGCATGCGCGGTGCCTTGTGAGCCAACTCTTGAAGCGACTTCTGAGGAAACTCCCGAGGCGATTTCTGAGCCTACGGAAAAGCAGTCCCAACTGCAAGTGCCGCTGAGCTTCTCCGCTGCATGCGCGGCGGCTGCAGAGGAGGTGGAGGAGGAGGAGGAGGATCCGCGGACTGACTGCGACCAAACGAGCACTGGCAGCGACCACGTCGAGACGCCATGCAGCAGCGGGACGAGTTCTGTCAGCTATTCTGTCAGCAACGACGCGATTCTGGAAAGGACGTGAGGATGCACAGTGATGGCGGCAGGTGGTTGGTGGCGGAGGTTGCAGTGGGATCAGGTGGTGCCACTGCTGATGCTCTCAACACACTGCACGCCGCCCTGCTGCTGCTGCTGCTGCTGCTGCTGCTGCTGCTGCTGCTGCTGCTGCTGCTGCTGCACTCGCTGCTCCTGTCACTGCCGCTGCTGAGAGTGGTTCTGCCCTGGCGGATTCCCAAGGTAGGCAGCACAGGAGCGCGTGTGAAGGTGGGTGGTGTGGAGGGGAAGGCATGGAATGCACGTGGTGGTGCTCTAGCCCACCAGAAGCCCACAGCAAGCAGCATGAGGCAGCAGCAGGAGAAAGAGCACGCTGTCAAGTGCAGAGGGAGGAGGAACGCTGGCAGCACCACCAAGGCAGCAGCAAGACCTTCTTGGAGGCCTTGAAAGCTGCTGGCGCCATAGAAGCAAGCACAGGGAAATATTTTTTTTTGTGGAAGTACAGAACAGAAAAGTCTCCTATAGCTACTTGAGTGTGTCTCTCTTAGATAGCTAGCTTTGTTCAATCTTGTAATATTTAGTAGGTGCAGTAATGCATGTATACTGGCTGTCAAATTTCTAGACAATTGTACATTCTACCTTCCAGTGTGCACAATCCCAAAGAGACACTGTTTTTGTGACTTAATCACTGTATGCATTATGTATAAGGGTACTGAATAATTTTACATTTATGCCTGCGCTCAATAACAAGTACGTTATCTTTGCTCACATCGTCCACTGTTGCAACACACGCAAATGCGCAACGACGACTGCCCAAGAGAGATCATGGCCGAGATTATCGGCAAGCTGAGGTTAGCGTGGGAGAGTCTCGCACATGCCGAACAACGATCGCCTTGCTGTTTCTAATAGTAGCGGCCGAGCTGGAAGCGAGAGGTTATGGGGAGCAAAGTTAGTCATTAGCTCGAAAGCTTTACGAAGTAACTTCTCTCTTCGCCATGGCGTTCAGTGTTGGCTCGTTAAGAACTTGAAAGAGGCAGCTGTGCGAGGACCTTCAGCGGGTCAAGGATGGTGCCCACAGCGATTGGAATTCAGCGCATCGAGAAGGTAACGATTTTCGTGTGCATATTCTCGGGTTCAGCGCGCTGTATTTTGCCTCTGTTCTGTAATCGTTACTTCTGAGAGAGCTTTGTTCTTGTGCTGCGCAGATTCAACGCCCGTGAGTTGCCCGTCAGATCAGAGAGATGCGGCGAAGGTGGCGAAAGAAGCTGATCTGAGCACCCGTGAGTTGCCCTGCTCTCCTCCGAAGGCGCTTTGCTGAGGGGGCGAAAGGTGGCGAAAGCAGCTGAGGGGGTGAGAATGGGGGCGAAGGAAGAGGAGTGCTGAACGCTCATCATCTGCGACCTGGGCGGCCAGGTGCGAATGAGGAAGGAGTTTGGCATGTGGACCGGAGGGCGAGGGTGGGAGGGGTGAAGGGGTAAGAGCTGACAGGGGGAGAGAAGAGAGAGAGAGGGGGGAGGGGGGGGGGGGGAGAGAGAGGTGTGGTGGTGGCTGCACCACCAGGGGAGTCCTGGATGCATGGTGGGACTCTATGTCTCCCACAACAGGCCGAGACGTTCTAGAGAACATTATGTGTTTTTACCCTATTCTCCCCACCCCCTCCCCTTCCCCTCTGCCTCTGCTTCTGCCCTCCCGCCTTCCTTAATCATTCTCCCTTCCTCGATCATTCCCCGTTCCTCCCCCCCAATGCCTCCCGCCCCGTCCTCATGCAGATAAGGCTGCGCGCGATATGGGAGAAGTACTACGAGGAGGAACCTGGATGGCCTGGTGTGCGGGGGTGAGAGGGGGAGAGGATGGATGGGGGGAGGGAAAGTGGAGAGCGAGGATGGAGAGGAGGGGGATCGAGGAGAAGGAAGAGGTGTGCTGAATGGCCGGATCTCAGAAGGAGGCCAGATGAGCGGGAAGAGGAGGGATGAGGGGGGCGAGTGGGATAGGTTGATGGCGTGTGGATTGGAGAGCGAGGGTGGCATGGGGAAGGAGGGAAGAGCTGAGCTGATGGGGGGTAGAGAGGGGGTAGAGTGTGGGGGGAGGGAGGCGGGGGGATCAGGTGAGTACTAGATTCATGATAAGAGGTAGACGGTCTACCTACCACACTAGGCATTCTGACGGAATCTTTTCCTCACCTTTACTCCGTTCCCTCCCCTTCCCCCCTTCCTCCGCCTCCGTCCTTCCAACTCCTTCCCCGTCCCTCACCCCTCCCCCTTCCCTCCCTCATCCCTCCCCCTTCCCTCCCTCATCCCTCCCCCTTCCCTCCCTCATCCCTCCCCCTTCCCTCCCTCACCCCTCCCCCTTCCCTCCCTCATCCCTCCCCCTTCCCTCCCTCATCCCTTCCCCTTCCCTCCCTCATCCCTTCCCCTTCCCTCCCTCATCCCTCCCCCTTCCCTCCCCCATTCCTCCTTCCCCGCTTCCCTCCCCCGTTCCTTCTCATCCCCTCCCGCCCCCACCCCCCTCCCCCCTTTCCTCAATCATACTCCCTTCCCCTTCCCTCCCCCTTTCCTTCCCCTTCAATCCCCGCCCCCCATGTGCGTGCAGATAGGGCTGCGCACGATATGGGAGAAGAACTACGAGGAGGCGCCGACAGATTCGACGATGCTAGAGGGGCGCTCGGTGGGTGCCCGCCTGCTCTGCTGGGGAGTTGCTGGGTGATGTCAGGGAGGGCGAGTGGAGGTGGTTGAGGGAGAGTGCGCGTGTGTGTGCGTTGGGGCTCAGGGTAAGGATTGTTACTGCCTGCACTCTTGAGGCAACTAGCAGCATCCGCCACTCGCTTTGGGGGGATGCTGATGCGGACACCCTTACACTTCTCTTACTCTTCACTTATTCCTCTCCATCCCATGTACCTATTAACATGGCACCACAAAGTGCGCCCTTTTCTTATCTAATACATGAAATGATTTTCAGCTTAGGGAATCTCATGGTGGTCTTGTTTTGATAAACCGAAATATTATCGATGCTAAACTGATCCCTCTGTCTTTCTCCCTCTTCCCCTCTCAAGCCTCACCCCACTCTGTCTCCCCCTTGCCTCATCCCCGTGCGTCTCCCGTGTATCCCCATTCCTCCCCTCCAGAGAAGGTGCTGCGATGGTGAGACAACTTTTGAGGCGCCTCAAAAGGTGCTGCGATGCTGAGACATGATGACCTGGTTGGAGCTCCTATCTTGATCTTTGCCACCAAGCAGGTGTGTGTACAAAGTGATTGAGTGGAGGTGTGGGGAGGGAGAGAGGGGTGGAGAAGGTTGGGGAGGCACGGAACGGTGGGAGGTATGTAGGAGGTGGAAGGCATGGGGGGAGTGGGAGGCATGGGGGGGTGGGAGTTATGGGGGGGTGGGAGGCATTGGAGGGGTGGGAGTTATGGGGGGGTGGGAGGCATTGGACAGCTGCAGCAATACTATCCTTGCCAGATCAGAACATTCTAAGCTTTCAGCTCTCTCCGGTTCTTCAAGCTTTGCACCCGAGGCTGCAACAGCAACCAGTGTTCCCTCAAGGTTCGTCTCTGCTAGTTCCGCCGCTCGGTTTCGGCCTCACACTTCGCTCGGTTGAATGGCCGACGCTTCCGCGCCTGCATACACTTCGTCGTCGTTCGCGGAAGTCCTGAGCATCTGGAGGAAGCGCGAAGAGGTTGCGCAGTCCCGCGCGCATCTTGAAGTGACGCCGAGCTCTGCGACTGCTTGCGCGGTGCCTTGTGAGCCAACTCTTGAAGCGACTTCTGAGGAAACTCCCGAGGCGATTTCTGAGTCGACGGAAAAGCAGTCCCAACTGCAAGTGCCGCTGAGCTTCTCCGCTGCATGCGCAGCGGTTGCAGAGGAGGCGGAGGAGGAGGCGAAGGATCCGCGGACTGACTGCGACCAAACGAGCACTGGCAGCGTCGCCGACGAGACGTCATGCAGCAACGGGACGAGTTCTGTCAGCTGTTCCGTCAGCAACGACACGATTTATGGAAAGGACGTGAGGCTGCACAGTGATGGCGGCAGGTGGTTGGTGGCGGAGGTTGCAGTGGGATCAGGTGGTGCCACTGCTGATGCTCTCAACACACTGCACGTCGCCCTGCTGCTGCTGCTGCTGCTGCTGCTGCACTCGCAGCTCTTGTCACTGCTGTTGCCGCTGCTGAGAGTGGTTCTGCCCTGGCGCATTCTCAATGTAGACAGCACAGGAGCGCGTGTGAAGGTGGGTGGTGTGGAGGGGAAGGCATGGAATGCACGTGGTGGTGCTCTAACCCACCAGAAGCCCACAGCAAGCAGCGTGAGGCAGCAGCAGGAGAGAGAGCACACTGTGAAGTGCAGAGGGAGGAGCAATGCTGGCAGCACCACCAAGGCAGCAGCAAGACCTGTTTTGAGGTCTTGAAGCTGCTGGCGCCACAGAAGCAGGCACAGGGTGATATTTATCTGTGGAAGTACAGTACAGGACAGAAACCTCTCCAATGGCTACTTGAGCATGTCTCTTAGATACATGTGTGCAATCTTGTACTATATTATAGGTGTAGATATTGGCTGTTAGATTCATAGACGAATGTACAGTATGTTCTCCCTTCCAGTGCACACATTGTGCAGAAGAGTGTAGATGAGGTGGCACTGTCAGACTTGTTGGGCTGAAGTGCTCTAGGATCTTTGTAGAGTTGAAGTCTGAGTAGAATTGTAGTAGCGGAAGCGTTTGAATGAAAGTACTTGAACCACCTTGCGCTAGTATGTGAGGGCAAAGTAAATTGATTAAACAAGCAAATACAAAGGTGTGAAAATAGGAAAACAGGAATGAATGAACTATGAATGAAAGCAGTACAAATATGAAACCCTAACTGGGTTGTACCCCCTATGGGATACCCCACTACAGCCTACACAGCAGTATAAGCTATAGATATGTTCTGACACACCCCCATAGGCAAAGTGGGGGAGAACAAGGGGTCACAAGACCAGTCAAGCAAGACAAAGCAAAGCTCAGGGTGGATCACAAAGTCACCACACAGTCCGAGCACAGGAGCAAGGCCAAAGGCCAGTTCACAAGCAAGAGTACAGACATATATATAAAGCTAGACAAGCAAGAGCAGGTATATATATATGTCACAGTACAAGTGAAGTCAAGAGGAGAGCAAGTGAGGCAAGACAGGCACAAGACCCAGCTGGGTGCAGAAGCGCTGATGGTCACAAGGCGCAAGTGCCTTGGTGAACACATCAGCAGTGTTGGCCTCAGAGGCCACGTACGCAAGTCGCAACTGACCACGCTGCTGCAGCTCACGAGCAAGGAAGTAGCGGAGAGCAATGTGCTTCGTTCTGTGCTCCAAGCGCTGCTCTCGACACAAGGCCAGCATAGCCTTGTTGTCTACGTACAGCACTGGAGGAGAACGAGGCGGCTCTCCAAGGTCAGTCAGCAGGTAGGTGAGCCAGCGAAGCTCCTGTGCAGCCATGGCCCCGGCGTATATCTCAGCCTCACAACTGGAGCCGAGAACCGAAGACGAGCGAGTAGACCGCCACGAGACAGAGCCGGAACCAAGGCTGAAGGTGTAACCCTGTGACGACCGCTGCGTAGCCTGGTCGTCAGCCCAAGAAGCGTCCGCGTGGCCGGTAAGGACCACTGGACTCCGCCCTCCAAGCACTAGCCCCATGCCTGACGTACTGCACAGGTAGCGCAATACCCTCTTCGCTGCAGCCATGTGCTCCGGTCTGTGTCTCCCAGGAGCAACATAGCGTGCAAGAATGCTCAGAGGGTATGCAAGGTCAGGTCGTGTGCAGGTCATCAGGTACATGAGGCAGCCAACAAGCTCCGCATACGGACCACTCGACTCTACGGACTCATCCGAAGGCAGAGCTGAGAGTGAGTGGCGAGTAGGCAGAGGAGTGGCCTGAGGCGAGGAGTACGTGAAGCCGAAGCGCTGAAGGACCTGCTGCACCATGTGTGACTGAGTCAAGGTAATGGTGCGGCGTGCTCTGTCCCGAGTGATCTGCAAGCCAAGGTAGCTGCGCAGTTCACCCAGGTCTGTGCACGTGTGTCTCTTCAACAGCTCGGACTTCACGTAGGCGAGTCCAGCAGTGTCCGCTGTGGCAAAGACCAGGTCGTCGACGTACACGAGGATGTAGAACGGCGGCAGGGAAGTGTCGGTGCGAAGAAACAGCGACGGGTCAGCAGTAGAAGGAGCAAACCCAAGAGCCGCAAGCGTAGTCCTCAGTGTGTCGTGCCACTCACGCGGTGCCTGGCGGAGACCGTAGAATGGCCGTCGGAGGCTCCACTGGGTGCCAGGAGGGAAAGTCCCAGTGAAGCCAGGTGGACGGCGAAGCCAGATCTCCTCGTGCAGGCTACCCTGCAAGAACGCAGTGCTGAAGTCGAGAGAGTGAAGCTCGTAGTCGCGCTGAGCGGCTATGTGCAGCAGCACCCGAAGAGTAGTCATCTTCGGGGTGGGAGAGAAGGTCTGAAAGTAGTCAACTCCCTGCCGCTGACTGAAGCCACGAGCAACGTACCGTGCCTTGAAGACAGGTGGAGAGCCCGGCGGCCGCTTCACCCTGAAGATCCACATGCCACTGACGATGTTCGCCCCAGGAGGGGGAACCGCGTCAACGTAGGTGCCTGTGGACTTCCAGGAAGCCATCTCTGCATCCATAGCTGCCTGCCACTGAGAGGAGTAGGGACCCTCTACGGCCTCCGCGTAAGAACGCGGAGTCGGGATGTCTAGTGCATCCGGGTCTCCCTCAGGGGCAAGCAGTACAGACGCGAGATGAGGTGAAGCAGCCGCTAGACACTGTAACTCCTCCTGCCTGTCCTCTAGGACGTCCGTGCCAAGAGCACACTCACCCCCGACGGACGGAGGACAGACAGACGCAGACTCAGCAACAAGACTAGCAGCGTAGTCGAGACGACAGCGAGCAGCAAAGTCGACGAGCTCAGCGACTAGAGCAGACGCAGCAGTGGACTCAAAAGAGGGGTCAGTGACGACAGTAGCAAGCAGACGCGTGACAGTGGGACTGGCAGCACGAAGAGAGTCCGACTCAGGGTCCGCAAGCGCAGGAAGAGAGGACTCAGGAGGAGAAGGCAAAGGGGCACGCAGAGGAGCAGTGGACGGACGTAAAGACATCCGGTGCGTGCCAGGGACAGGAGGAGGACGCTGACGCGAACTGCGACCACTAGCGCGAGCAGCACGAACAGGCGACGCGGGACGAGACGCAGGCTCACGACGCTCAGCAAGACCTCCAGTAGGACCAGTGTAAGGAGAGGGAGCAGGCAGTGGAGAGGAAGGCTCCAGTAGGGGCTGCGACTGGACAGGCGGTGGACCCTCTACTGGAGGAGAAAGACCAAGAACCTGCTGAAGGAGCGGAACGAAGTACGGCCGAGGCCGCGCGGCAGCTCCAGACTCAGCAGGGACAGCACCAGCACCCTCAGCGACAGCACCAGCGCCACCCACACCTCCAGCGGCAGGACCAACAGCAGCAGGCTCAGCACGAACGCCCTCAGCAGCTCCAGCTCCAGGAGGACCTGCAGGGCCAGCAGCTCCGGGACCGGCTGCACCCGCACCCTCGACGGTCGAAGAAGCTCCAGCTCCAGCTCCAGCAGCACCTCCAGACTCAGCAGCACGCCTCCAGCGGCGAGCGAACCACTCGCGCAGCTCCTGTGGAGAGAGGGGCTCCCGGCGAGACGCAGCAGCAGGAGAAACCCCAGGCTCAGCAGCTCCAGACGCAGCACCCCCAGGCTCAGCAGCTCCCAGCTCAGCACCCCCAGGCTCAGCAGCTCCCGACCCAGCACCCCCAGACCCAGCACCTCCAGGCACAGCACCCCCCGGCTCAGCACCCCCAGGCTCCGCACCCTCCGCAGTAGCACCCTCAGGCCCAGCACCCCCAGCAGTAGCACCCCCAGGCTCAGCACCCCCGCGCACAGCACCCCCAGAGTCAGCACCCCCAGGCTCAGCACCCGCAGCAGCACCAGAGTCACCAGTAACCTCGACCGGGTCAACGGCGTCTACCTGGGACACACCTGAGGGGGCAGGAACCTGAGGGGGGAGGGGGTCTACCGGGGGGGGAACCGGCACAAGGAAGTCCGGGGGAGGGGGGAGGGAAGGAGTGCGGTAGGGGAAGAGACGGTAGAAGGGGACTGACTCGTCGAACGTGACGTCCTGGGAGGACAGAACACGACGAGAGGAGGGGTGGTAAAACTGCCACCCTGGGGCGTCAGTGGGGAAGCCAAGGAAGACACAGGGAGCAGCACGAGGGGACAGCTTGTCCGCAGACAAGTCGCGGACAAACGCCCGAGATCCCCAGACACGGAACACAGACGCATCGCCAACCTTCCCCGTCCACAGCAAGGCTGGGGACATCGCTGGCCGAGAGACCCGGGGGTGAAGGTTGAGCTGATGCGCCGCGTACCTCACCGCAAACGGCCACAGAAAATGGGGGGCAGCCGCATGCATCATGGACGTACGAGCGACGTCCATGACCATGCCAATGCGGCGCTCAGCAATCCCATTTTGCTGTGGTGAGTCCGGAAGCGTGAAGGTCTGGCGGATCCCCCGTGCACGACAGTAGTCTCGTAGAAGGCGAGAAGAGAACTCTCCGCCTCTGTCAGAGTGCAGACGCAGAACAGGAAAGTCCGAGCCGAAGCTCTTCCTGAGCTGGAGACGAGCCTCGCGGATCCAGTCGATCAGCACCTCAGTGACCGCACCCTTGCTGCGCAAGGGGAGGACTGTGGTGTAACGCGAGTAGTCGTCAACCACCAACAGGAAGTAGCGCTCGTAACCCTGCCCACGGACGGGGGCTGGGCCCCACACATCCATGTGAAGCGTCTGCAGGGGAGCCTCTGTCGGGGGGAAGTGGGAGGAGTGAGGAGTAGCCCGGAGGCGACCCTCGACACAGGGGACACAGGAAGGTCCTGGCCCGGAGGGGAGAGGAGGGAGAGACTGGGGAAGACCAGAGACAAGGACACGGGAAGCCATGCTCAAAAGACGGGGCAAGGAGGGGTGGCCAAGACGGTGGTGCCACAGGAGAGTCTCGTGAGACAAGAGGCGACAAGAACAGGGGGCAGACTCAGGACCTGACCGGGACGCAGCAGCAAGTACCTGACCCGACGCAGCCACCTGACCAGACGCAGGGACAGGAGGAGACTCAACGGTCAGGGTGTAGAGACTCGACCCCGGCCGACGTGAGAACGTGGCCAGGTGTCGGCCTGTGCGAGCCTCCGTGCAGTGGGTCACCCTCTGACGCGCAGGAGTGAACTGGTGAACACCCCCATCCTGCAGGTCCGCTCCACTCACCAAGTTCGTAGAGAACGAGGGAAGGTACAGACCCGACAGGGTGCCCGAAGGGGCAGCCGGACACGGGAGGACAGTGGAGAAGTGAGACAGGACAGGACCCCCAGAGGGGTCAGCAAGAGAG